TTTAGGATGAAACATAATAAATAAAATGAATTACCGCGTACTAGATACGCCTAACAACATATAAAGCAAATTCTTTATTCCAAAAGAAAAGAAGAAATGCAAAAGACGTAGTGATGCAGACATTTCTACCTATCCTAGCAAACACTTTAATCTATCTGATTTTATTTGCTAACATATCACACAGATTTAAACATTTCTCTCGCACTCAAACGTCAATACCGGTTGCCTACCGGTCAAAATTTTTATAAGAATGACCGGTCAAGTCTGCATATGTTCACCGGTAACCGGTGACCGGCCGGTACCGGTTATGATTTTGTTGACCGGTTGCATCTCTGACTCAAGCGCATGAGACAAGAAAATCAAGCACATATCTCAAGCATTTTGCATGAGTAAGAAATTCATGTGCATGGAAACAAATCTTGAGGTATGTGCTTGCTCATATGCTTGAGATAAAAAGCTTCACTAGGGGAGTCATTGATTCTTACAAGATCATGTAAGATCTTATAACAAGAAATCAAATGATCTTGCGATAAGAAATAAATACAAGTCACGTCTCTCAATGTAAAATCATACGCTTTGTGTTACAAAATCTTGTGACGTCTTATGAGCTGATCGTGTAAGATCTTATGACAAGAAGTTACAAGATTCTGCAGGATCTTACAACATCCTAAGACAAGATCTCGTAAGATCATGCCGTAAGATCTTGCTACAAGAGTTCATAAGAAAACGGTAGATCTTGTATGATCTTGTAAGATGAGTTTCACCTGGGAGGATGAGCTGAAATGAAAATGACGTCAACATCGTCGAACATTCGCTCATCAAAAGTGTTGGTGGCATTTCATATTATCTTACCTGCTTGATCATGAAACATGAAACGACTGGACGTCCAGAGAAGTAATGGTGGCGCCATAGAGCGGGAAAGCTGGGAAAAGGTTAAACGCCATTTCTTCTAGCATACGATTTGTTTTTCGAGTTTTCCGTAGCGTATCCGTTCGAAAAGTTTTTATGTCGACAGACATTATGTGTTTTGCTGGGATTTTTGTTTTTTATTTTCTTCTGTCTTTCTTTCTTTTGTCCCTTTTTTTAGGCAAAATGTGCACCTCGTGATCTAGAGAATTACGAAAGCTAGAAAAGTTCTGCAAAAGGTGCGATATTCCCCCGACATTGGAGATTGATCAATGCGCGTTCTTTTTTCAAAACTAAGTCCAGATTCGGAGCCATAACCTACACAAATAGAAGTAAAATGTTTTTTGGACTTTTCGTGTATTTATAAGAGTTGATTGTCTGGCGCCATTTGTTCTCGAGACGAAATGTTAAATAAATATATCTGTATTGATTTCATTTACTCAGTATATATAAATATATAGGTATATATTGAGTAAATCAAAGCAAAAATGCAGTGCTTATAGCCTACTGGTAGAATCTGCTTGGAGCGGTAGGTTCCGTCCGAGACAGAGTCTGTCGACATCACAACTTGTGCGTAGCACAATTGCATTCTAGTTTAGAGTCTGGTTTTTTTCTATAAAAATCTTGATAAAAGACTATGCCTCAAAACAGTTTTCGCAACGTCATTAATGTGGTCAACGATTTTGGTTTTCCATATTGATGTCAGTAATCTGCTATAGAGTCGATAGTTTTTAAGGACCAATATAAACACATTTTGCGGTAATTTTATTGATGTTGGAATTTAGACAATAGCTTTTTTCTAATTTACGAAAATAAGTTATGGATAAAATGTGAACATTTATATGTATCTGGTTGCGTTTCTTTGTTTTTTATTTATGCGAATCGTGACATATAATCCTGTTTTCCTATCAAAACACACAAATACACATAGAAAAAGGCTTGAGGTAAAACCAAAAAGCAACAAAACATAAAACATTGCACTGTTGAGAAGTTTAAAAAAATTAAGGATTCTGCATGTGATTAGAGAAATTCCTGAATTATTGGAAGAAAGAAAAACAAATAGCAAAAGAAGATGTGATCAACAACAAAAAAAACTCTTCAAATAATACTTGAAAATAATACGAAAAAATTTTGCGCGATCAATTTTGCTAACAGATGTTGCATAATTGTTTATATTTTCCTGAGGGCATTCTTACGTGAAACATGAAAGATAACACAACACGACAAATACAAGGTGAAAGAGTGTGATTCTAATACACTAAAGTGTTATCTGACCGGTTGGGTTTAATGCATATTTAGTCTTTTATTTAACTTCGATTCGATAAAGCATTTAATTACTATAGTTGAACATTATGTTTGGACTTTCTCACATCATCATCCACAATCCACAGTAATTCATCGTTCTTATTATTCGTCAAACTATCGAGATGTAATACTTTTCGATTAATCGTCGTTTCTTTTATTTAATATCGTTGTTTTCATCAATTATATTATCAATAAATGGTAGACTAGTTTTAATTCTATTATGTGTTTCATAATCAAATAGTGGATCAATTTTTGAATTATCGTTCCACAATGGTTTTTGTTCGTTTTCTAAATGTATCATAAACTCATTATCGTCATCGTTACTTTCACTATCAATATCCCATAGTCTACTAGACAAAGACCGACCCTCATCCGTGGGAATACTATAATTGAGAATTTGTGTAACATTTAAGTCACCATTATCAGTTCGATGTACAACTTGATCATATTTCGGATAATGAGAATCGTTTAATAAAATTGGCTGCCAAGTATTACCACCAATTTTTGACGGTACTGTTCTATATGGATCAACATACAATATTCTATCGTGTGATGATGGTGGTCGAAAGCGTGATTGTTGTGCCCAGTTTGTTACAGAATTTTGAGAGATATGATGATATGAGGGCGGATGTGGACTACGAACAAAACACGGTCGATATCGGAGATTTGTCCATGGATTTATTGATAATTCTGTACCTGAATAAGCCCGACGTGTTTGTGATGAATAGGGAATATTCGATGGACGAGTATAATCAAAATGATGTGTTCGATTTAACATTTGGAGAGGAGTTGAGGTACGTGAACGTTGTTCTTCTTGTGATAGAATAGGAATTATTCTCTCATCGTAACGATGTGAATGGACAGGATATTTCATATCACGTCGTTGAGATTGCTGTTGTCTTAACGGTCGATAGATATTTGAACGTAAATCATTGCCACCATAATCGGTGGTAGATGCTAAAGATGGACTCGCTTGAGATAAACGACGTGTATGATTTGAAGTTTGTACAGAATTATAGATGATGGGCATAAGAAAATCGGATGCGACTGAAGAAGAGGTCAACTAAAATATGAAAAAAAACAAATCATGAAATATTAGTCAATAATATTATTATAATACCTACTTGTCGTTGAAGTCCCATTATTGGTGGTTGTAATCTCATCGATTCCTGATATCTTAATTGATGATATTCTTTCGATGGTTGACTTTCAACATGTATTGGTATACTAATCGATGGTAATTGACTATTTGCAACATTTTGATATGTTGTTTCTTTATCATTAACATCGCACAATGATGAATGTACACGAGTCACATTACCAGCACCTGAACGATCAGCATAAATTAATTTATCTAATTTTTCTACTGTTGTTTCAATTTTTTTGTCATCTTTTATTTTACTATTTTCGTGTTGATATTTTATTTTTTGTTTATATTTTGTTGTTTCATCATTTGTTCGAAACATTCCTCGAGGTGCCGTTGTTATGGGTAAGAATGTTCCGCTTGTACCAATTTCATTTTCATATGATTGTTCACCGTCATTATTATTATTTAATTTTTCTGTACGTAGACCATTTTTCAATTTATTAGATTTTTTTTGTGTAGTTGACAATGGTTCTAATAAATCATCAGTATTTGTTGTATCGCCATTGTATGACGATTGTGTTGTTTTTGTCAATGTTTTAATTTTTCGTTGCTTTTTCTTATTATTATTTTCATTACGTTGTTTTTGTCTATCATCACCATCATCTGTCTCAAATGTATTTGTATCGATTGATGTCAATTTATTGGTATATGGTAATGATGATATTTTCATTTGTGCATAGTAATATAATTGAGGAATAAGAATAAATATGAGACACAATGTTGAAATCGAAAACATTCCACCAACAAGTGCTAAGTGAAGATAAAAAACAAAAATAAAAGATAAGATACAACAATCAATGAATGCAAAGTATCATAATATTTATCACTTTGAAATTCTTGAATCATCCATTTTTTTAAAAATGAAGATATCGAGTAGCTAAGATTAAAGATATTTTTTTAGGTATTATTATGTTTTAGACTTTACCTGGAAATACGTAGTAGGAATGGGCAAAAAAGTAGAAAAATGTCCATAATAACCAGAATAAATTGATAAGTAGAAAGGTAAACATGATTAAAAAATTTAATGTTGTTGAAGATAATGGTTTTATTGTTCTATAAGATGTTTTGGTTGTTGTTGTTACTTTTGAAAGTGATGAATTATAATGTTTTCGAAATAAGAATAGACAACATGCTATTATTGTACACAATAACAATTGAATGATGGTGTACGTATAAGTTGCATAGAAACGATAATCAACATTACAACGATACGAACATAATTTATTATAAGCTAAATCATGTGCTTGATGTAAATGACGTATAGCTTTATTATTATCCATTGATAACGATAATGAGGATAAATAGTCTTGTGAAGTACGTGTTATTTTGGGTGATGAACGTTGAAGAAACGGATATTCATCGGGTAACGGAAATAATGGTGGTGGTAGTGCTAAACTAACAATATCATTTGTTGACATTGGACATGAACGAGGCATTGTAAAATACCACCAGAGTATACCAATTGGTATTTGAATAAATATAAATAGAAGATAAATTAAAATAGCTGTAAATTGTTTAGTTCTACTTGATAATATTCTAGCACCTAGCCATTGCATTATATAACGTGAGAGAAAGGATGAAAATAGAAGAACATAGCCAAATTGTGATAAAAATTCTCTTAAACCACATAATAATTCTGTACCTCGTACTAAAAATATAATGATGATTATATACAATAGACCAACACCCAAACAAATGAGAAGATTTGTTAACACATATAAACCGTTAAAACGTTTAAATGATAAACAAACGAATAAAAATGATATGGCAATGGTTAGAGTAAAACCAATGATACATAATATCAGTAATGGTAGAAGCCAACTCTCAGAAAATGAGCCATCATTTAATTCACTGGTATAAGCAATATGAACGCTGTTTATCGACGATGATTTCGAACGTTCTAAATTCATCATTATCAATTTATCTCATTTTGGAGAATATCTAGAGCAGAACAGAACAGAAATAAAATAAAATAATATTTAAAATATATGTTCATTCCCCTACTGATAGAATATCGTCGATAATATTTAATATATTATTTCCTTTGTAGTAAGTCTAATCTTCATCTATATGAAAATTTTCTTATCGATTTTGCTTTCTGTGCACAAAAGTAAATGAATTTGTCATGTTTCGACGCGGTATTTTGCTCTTTATTGCAGCATAGCACCGTTCAAATTCTTATATTTGACATGAGATATGTGTATATGATACAATAAATGATTTTAATGTCGACAACAACTCTCCTTATGAAGTATAAAGAAAAACAGAAGAGGAGAAAATGTCGATTAATATGCTTTGAAGTCGAAAACAGAGAATGATAAAAACAATTAAACTTGATAAAGATTAATCGAATTATTAATACACGCACATGCTCTACCATTTTAATTAACACAAACATCAATTTATTCACTACATCACATACTTATTTCCTCCCCACTTCACTTTATCTCTCTCTCTCTCTCTCTCACATACAGACTATATGTGTAGTGCAGATAAATGTCAACATTGTGTTTTTTTGACACGGTTCATTATGTATATGATTATTTTATCACTAAACAAGAAAGAGAATACATTTTAGAAAAAACTAATTACGAATAGAAGAAAACACGTCTTAAAATCCGTCTTCTTTTTTCTTTCCATAAGATTTAACTAAATCACGTACATTTTTAATTATATTGTACAATATTCAGAGTTTTTCGTCTAACACTGTTACATGAAGAACAGCATCGTCTAGCAAGTGGTGCTGCATCATCCAGTATAAATAAACTTTATTTAGTCAAATAAGATACTTTCTCGTTATGATGCATAGTTACGACTTCTATAAATTATTATTTTTACCTTATTTACCTCAAAAGCGAACCTTTTGCTTACGCGAATTGTACTTATGTTAAATCTTTTGGTATGAGGACTGATGATATCAATTGATGTCACAAGAAAAAGGACAAGAATATATGAAGAAAGCAAGAAAAAAAAATATATCGCATTAATTAACTGTATTGTATATAGCCGATAAGTATGCGCACTTCTGTTCAATAAAATGTGAATACTATCAAAACTCTTAAGTTACAAAAATTTCCCAAAAAATGGAAATGTTTTTTTATTGCTATGAACTTTTGTTAATAATTCATTCTACATATACAGTTCTCTTGAACTTTTTGCAAATAATGTGCAGTAGAAATTGGCTTATTCCTAGTGCAACTCTCTAAGTGAAATGTTTGAGAGCTAAAAGTAAATTTTTCAGCTACTGCTGTTCAACTGAACTAAATGTATCAGTAGTCGTTACCAAGAATATTTTATATCAAGAAAAAATAAACAACATATATTCATAGAGGAGAAAAATTGTAATATTTTTAAGATTAGATAATAAGAAAATTAAGTATCCTAAGTTTAAAGAATATTACAAAACCAATGTAAGATTTACATCTCGCTGAATAATATTGTAAGATTAAAAATAAATAAACGAACAGTGTAATATAAAAAATAATGGAATTAACGAAATTATTTTATCAATATGAAAAAATATTTCTAATTTTAGTGCGAGAAACAAGTATCAGACTAAGATATTGTAATATCTTGCGTCAAATAAATAGTTTCCCATTGAAATGATTGCGTCAAATTTGACGTTAACATTATCTTAAGCGATAAATATCTTATCGTCTAAGTCAAAGGGTGAACAAACAACAAAAGATAAGAAAAAAAAACATAAAATTAAAATAATCCGTTGTTCAATTTTAACTTGTTGGTTAGTTGTTCAACATATCTCATAAAAATCTCTTGAATACGTATAAATATCGTTACATACGTAATAATTATAATATTTTTCTAATGATGACATATCGAAACTTAATTTGAAAGCAATAATAATACTTTTTATTGCTCTCCAATTAATTTCTATCGTATCATCTTCTCATATTGTACACTGTCGTGTGCACCTTTAACTAAACTATAGTATAAATGTATCATAAATCGTTTTAATTTTCGATTGTTACAATACGAGATTCTTCGTAATGTAAAATTTTTTTAAAATCTTTTTGAAAAAATAATTCGTTCTGAAATTTCTGAAAAAATGATTAGTAAGTTTGAAAGTTAAAATATAAATATTCTTTATTCAAACTCAATTCAAAATATTTCAGTTATACTTGCATGTAGATACGTTAAATAAAGATATTATTTAAAATGGGTCAATAATCTATATTTATTGCTCAAGTTTTCCATAAGATCCAAGACATTCTCTTTGAGTTTTGTATACTTCGAGATTTAGATTTATCAGTGTACGAAGCAGCTACAATAAAAGGTATTTTCAAGTGTTTTGACCTGATTTTATTTCAAGAGTTATGAAGTTTTACAGTTTTGTATGAAAATATAAAGAAACAAAAAACGATATTTTTCTGTATTTTATTTGAGTACTAAAGTCATTTAATTATCTTTAGAATCTCATTAAATAACGCAGAAACGTTCAACTCAGAATTTGATGAAACATCACTTGAATTTCTAATAATTTTAATTGTTCTTAAGAAACTCTCTAGTTTTTTGCTTAAATTAAATTTATGGTTATTGTTGTCTCCTTTCTTTTTCTTTTTTTTTATTTCTAATATAAACTCTTAAAAGATGGAAGTACAAATCATGAATGCCTGAGAACATTTATTTAATTATCGCTCTCTTTCTGTCTCTCTTTACTTTTCAATAAAAATACAATTCTTTTGCATGAGTTATAGACACTTTTAAAAATTTTAAATGTTTCAATTGAAAGTGAAGTATAACTCTAAAGATTAAATTATCTTGGTAATTATATATTTTTACTGTTTCACTTAATCTAATGAAAACAAACATCACACTATAGATATATATATGCGTGTTGCATAATAATTATTTTCTTCTCCACTAATATAATTTACTTTAAACTTTTTTATTTTTTCAAAAACAAATTACTTTGTTTCTATTAAATAGTACGTTGATGATTATTTCATATTCTGAATCAGTGGCTATTGTTATGCTCAATGAAGTAATACATACTGTTTTAAAGACGATTAAAAGTTATGGAAGTTACTTTGATGTCTTTTTTATTGTTGATCCTTGACATCCTTTCTCTTTCTCTTTCTCTCTCTCTCTCTCTTTCTCTTTATAAATGTATAATCACTCATATTACGTTTTTTTATACGAAAGGTATTAATCGATTGTTAAATGTATGGATATACAATATCAAATATCAAAAAGAAAAAGAGATCTAGATTTTAATCTGTCTTTGACAATGTCTAATACAAAGTACAAATTTTATTTGGATAGAATTAAACACTTTGTCAAAATAGAAAGAAATATATTATTTAATTTATACACATGTATACATTGGAAACAAATTGTACACACAATTAAGAACAAATTCATGACATTTATAAACAGCATTTTGATAAAATTATTATTTGTATTAAAAATAAATGTAACTTTTAGATATCTATGTATTAAAAACAAACTGATGTTGTCAGATAGCAAATGTTTTTAATGTACAGATTTTGCTGCAAGGATAGTATAGACTCGATGTCGTGCTGTGTATATTAAGATCGAATCGATAAAAATTTCTGTTTAGTTAATTTGGTGTCTCTATAGATCATCTCTCTTTTGATCATTATTTAAAAGAAGAAAGTGTTGACCTTTGTGATCTCAACACCTTGCTTAAGTGCTAGACATACACACACATGCAGTTTTGTTTTTTATTCTTTTGTTCTAAACGCGTGACAATAACATAAATAAAAACTGACAATACATACATATTTCACACACTTCATCCTTTTCTATCTATCAAACAATGAACTAAAAAAAAAAAGAAAAATTATTTCAGATCTTACAGGTAGAGTAAGAAATAGAAATATTAAAAAAAAAAAAAAAGAAAACTAAAAGTATAGACATCACATTAATAACACTATTATATGTATATATATATACATATAGACATATATATATATATGCCTATATAAAAAGGTCAACATCTCTCATTTAGTCATCCATCATTCACTGTTTTAATTTAACTAATATTTTCCCACGCCTCTTATATTCAACAATGGTAAAAATAAGCGAGAACACTAAGAACCAAACAACAGAAACAAAAGTTTAATAATATTTTCACTAAATCATTTTTGTTAGTTAATATGAAAAAAAGAAATAACTATCAAAACTTTGATACGATAGTTGGAACGATATTAACCTATACGTTTGATTGTTTTTTTTTTGGTTTTTTTTTCTAGGTTTTAGCAATATAAATCGATTATATATGCCAATGACTAGTAAATGCATTTTATTTCTCATAAATCTAATCGTCAATTTCATCATGGAGTATCAACATCTTATCTTGTTTACATATTTGACATAGTTAATGAGGATTTTTGTCTTATTTCGCTTTAATTAACATTACAATCCCTCTACCTAGACATATAGTCTCATTATTGAACACGTCATTTTCATAACAATCATCATATAATTACCTCTTTTTTTCGTTAACTGACTTTTACATTGTTTAACAATATATATCTTTCTTTGTTCTTATTTTTATTTACCGTTTTACTTTGAAGTGTGAACGGTTGTAGCAGTCACTTCTTTTTTTTTTTCATCCAATTTCAAATAATATGTACAGTACTTCATTATTAACACAATCATGTAACCATAGTTTGATATTTTCTACTAAAAAAAAAATATAGATCGTTTTATTGTGCGAAAATGGATCATTTATGTTTCGACGAGAAGGACATACACGCATCATCATCATTATCAAATCGACATAGGAATTAAAAGAAGAAAACACAGGTTTCTCTACGAAAAAATGAATGATAGTATCAATCACTATCGCTGAACACACACACACATGCAGAGAGACAGAGATAATAAACAAAAACCAATGTTCGATTGAGATATTGAATTGTGAATA